GGTCAGGGAGGTGAGGGGAGAAAACAGGAGCCATTCAGGTGGCAGTGGAGGGGTTAAGTTATCTCCATTTGCAGATGTCACGTGTGTGGTGCCGGAGACGAACCCTGGGCCTGCACTCCATCCCCAGTTCTTCCCTTCTATTTTAGTTTAGGTGGGGTTTTTTTTGTTTTGTTTTGTTTTGTTTTTTGTTTTTTGGTCTTTTTCGTTTTTTATCGGTACCAGGGATCCAACTCACAACTGCACACTTGGAAGCCAGGCGCTTATGCCGCTGAGCTAAATCCCCAGCCCCTATCTTAGTTTAGTTTTTCAATTTTAAGACAGGGTCTCACTGTTGGTGAAATCTATTTGCCAGTCTTTTATGGCTCCTTGCTGAACTGCTCAGGCTGGCCTCATACTCACAATCCTCCTGCCTCAGCCTCCCAGAGTGCTGGGATTATAGGCCGTGCCACCACACCCAAATTATCTTTTATATAGAAAATCCTAAGGATTTAATTAAAAATTCTAGACCTTATAAATTCAGCAAGGCTGCAGGATATCAGTACACAAAAATCAACTGTATTTCTACAGACTTGCAATGAATAATCTGAAATAAAATTAAAAAACAATTTCACTTATAATACCATCAAAAATAGTAATAAACTGAACAAAAGTATAACATTTATATTTTGAAAAATATAAAACCGTTGAAAGAAATTAAGACTCATAAAAAAATCACTTTGTTTTCTGGCTCTGAAGAATATTGCTTAGACAGCAGTACTTTTATATTTATTTATCTTGGTTTCTTGAGACTTGGTTTTTTGGGCTCTCACTATATTGTTTAGGCTGGCTTTAATCTCAGAAGGTAGTCCAGGCTGGTCTCAAACTTGTAATGACCCACTTGTCTCAGCCTCCTGAGCGCTGGGATTACAGGCCTGTGCCATCATGCCTGGCATTTTGAATATGATCTGCAGACTTAATGTAATTTCTGTCAAAGCCCCATCTGGTTTCTTTGCACAAATTTTAAAAAGCTTATATCAAAATTTATATGGAAATTTAAAGGCCCAGAATAACTTGCTATAGTCAGGGGTTGTGAGAGCAATTATAATCAGGACACAGAATTCATAATATTATTCATGATGGTCACCCAGAGTTAAACACAAAAAGTGCAGGGAAACTGTTTACAACACTAAAGACCCAGAATATTCAGCCAAGGGCCTGGATCCCACATCAGTGTCCTGCATGAGTCCAGATGAAGACCTACGGCCCATGACAGTGCCTCCCATGAGTCTAACTGGAGGTCTAGAGCCCCTGGCAAGGACACACACCAGCCTGTTTTATGGATCTGCTGGGAAGGCCCAAAGGTCAGCAGTAGAAGCCAGCAGGTGAAGGAGCTGTGCTGGTAGGTTGAGGGTTCTACACTGGAGCCGAGAAGTCATACTCAAAATAAGAACCAGGGCTTCCCTAAAGAGCACCACAGCCATCCTCAGCGACAAGGAGGTCCCGAGTTCCCCTGACAATAAGAACAGTCGAGTACCTGCCAGAAAGCCAGCATGACAAGCTTCTCGTGGAGATTAAACAGCACACGTCTTGCCCTCCGGAGCTAGGAAGCAATGCTCGATGTGAGGACCAGAGCTCCCCCAAAGTGCACCACAGCCACTCTCACCAACCAGGTCCCGAGCTCCTCTGGTGACGATGGTCAAACTCACACTGGGGAAATGAGCTCCTCCAGGAGAACCAAGGGCTCAAACAGCAACACGTAGAGAAACCCACAACACCTCACTTGTTTTCTCCACGTCTCTATTTATGCCGGCAACTTTCCTCAGGTGGGCCGTCTACGCTCAGCACCTTGCTGATTTAATTCAGCTGGTGTTCAGCTGACCACCATTTTTAACCCATAACAACAACCAAAACAGCCTTGAAAAAGATGAATTTGGGGAACTTACACTTCCCAATCTCAAAAAGTACTACAGAGCTACAGTGCAGATATGAGGGTGGATGAACAGACCAATGAGAGAAAACTGAGTGTGCATTTATGGCCAGCTGACTTTCGATAAAAATGTAAAAATGATTTAATGGGGAACTGTTTTTAAAAAACGGTGCTGGGATAACAGGGTGTCTAAACATAAAAGGATGAGGCCAGATTCACCCAGGCTCACACCGCATACAGGTTACTTCGAAGACCTACAGGTAAGACAAATAAAAATATTAAGAAGAAATCTCTATAACCTTGGGTTAGATAAGAATAAGGGTCTAATATTCAGATGATATATAGATTTTTATAACTCATGATAGAAAGACAACCAAATTAAAATGGAAAGACAACCTGGGGGTCATATTGCTAAGGAGCTACACAAAGGACTGTAACATATGAGATGTCCAACAGTGTTAGCCGAGAAGCGGGAATCAAAATCTAGTGACAGCACGCACCCATGAGGACGATCGAAGACAGGAAGGAAGTGTTGGTGAGGATGTGGAGAAACAAGAGTGAGACATAAAAGTGTTACTGCAGGGAGCAGCCCGGCAAACACAGATGCGCGAAGCCCCAGGGCTTCCACACCCAGGTGTGCGCCCAAGAGGAATGAAAGCCTGCGCCCACCAGACACAGTGTGCAGACATTTCCATCAGTGTTATTTGCACGAATCCATCTGCCCCTCAAACTGATGGACACGTGAAATGCTGTCAACAGATGGAGTATTCTGTGGCAGTAAGGTACTGATGCATGCTAGCACACAGATAAACCTTGCAAATGTGCTAAGAAGCTGCAGGTTGCATGATTCCACTTGGATGAAGGTCCAGGGCAGGGGACTCAGCCACGGTAGTGGACGCCTAGAACAGGGAATGAGGTGGTGGTGGGAGTGACCACTAAAGGATCTGGGCTTGTTTTGAGGTCATGGAAGTGTTCTGAGAGTGCCTGCTGCTTGCGTCTGTGAACACACTTTGAGCCACGCACTGTAGCCTGCAGTCATGCTCAGCACGGGCAGCCCAGTGCCCTGCTGGTGGCCCTGGTTTCTTCTTGTCCCTGAGCATGCTGCTATGGAGTATGGATGGCTCCGAGACACCTACAGTAACATGACAGAGGCCCAGTGACATCTGGCTCCCCTGCTGTGTTGGTGACAGACCCTGGGGAAAGCTGGGGGACACGGATTACTGGGGAGAGGCCCAGCAGCCATGGGATGGCAGCCCCTTCCTGCCTGTCATGTGCCCACTGCACAGTGGACAAGCTCTAGCCTCACACAGGCAGGCAGCCTCCCCATGTCCCTGCTTTGGGGGGGCGCTGCTAGGTTTGGGGTTGTGTGGGCCCTGAAAGAGTTTTGGCTCAGGCTGGACACTGTAGCCGGTGAAGCCTTAGGAGGCGGAACCAAGGAGCCCCATCTTCCTCACTCCTAGGAGTTTACCTATGGCTCTATCTCCCCAGCCCTAGGAATTTACCTCTGGTGCCAAACTAGTGCCAATGGGCTGCCTGTGCATCCCTAATGCCCCTCAGGCACCACCCCTAACCTAAGCTACATGTATGTCTCCACTCCACGTGTTCTCCAGAGAGATCGCCGACCCTGGGGTGGAGATGCCGTGTCCCAGGGGACCGGGGGTGTCTCTCCCCACATTCCCAAAATAAAGGTCATTTATATTTCATACTTCTTATCTTTTCAGCCGCCGCCGGTCCCCCACAGTTCTATCAGGCCCCACTGCCCATCTCCTTCCAGAGGCGTCTGTGGGCTGGGATCTGTGTGGCTCCGCAAACTCCCAGCCTCGCCCTCCTCCCCTGCTCTGTGGCCTCACTACAGCATGGCTGTCAGGGTCTCCGTGTATGAAACCCCCTGAATCACACAGGGAAGTAAACCCCTTTCCTGGTGAGACTAAAGCAATGGGGCTGGGGTACAGCTCAGCACGAGGTCCTACATTGAGTTTCTAGAAGCCACCAGCAGGCACAGGGTGCATACCCACAATGGCTACTTGGGAGGCTGGGGCAGGAGCATCACAAGTTGGGAGCTACTTAGGGAACTTAGTGAGACCCTCTCTCAAGATAATGACACAAGGCCAAGCTGCAGCGGTAGAGCATTTGCTAGCATGCAGGGGCACTGGGCTCAATCCTCAGTGCTGCAAACAGAGCAACAGGAACTGAAGCATAACCCCCACCTCTGCAGTCTCCTGGTGCCACCTGAACCCCTCGCTGCCTGCTGCTCTGCTGGGCGGCATCTTTTCTATAAGATGGTGTGAAGGGGAGCCACCTAGAGCTTTTTGTACCAATGTCACCCTACTTCGTTGCACTGCTTTTCTTCATTCTGTAATACAAATATTGAGTACCGTAATCTCGACATTGTAATCCCTTTAATCTTCCTCACAACCCAGAAAGTTCTGTTTATAATCCCACTGAGACATTACTGGAATCCCATCATGTTAATTCCAATCTATGCCCTCCAGTGCGACCCACAGCAAGAGTAATGACACCAAGACATATTCCAAGTTAAGGGCAGCCAAGGGGTCCTAGGCCTGATTCCAGTAGGATGTGCAGACAAAGGCCCTGATCCTAGGCCTCTCCCGGAATTTATTATCTTGTGAAGAGGGGGTGGCTCGAGGTGAGTGACAGGGAAGCTCGCAGGAACTGTGAGAGTGACCTGCGCTGGCTAGCCAGTGGGGAAAAAAGCATCAGAGGGACCAGTCTGCATAACTAGACTGGGATAGCAGATGAGTGGATTTAGGAGGCCATTGCTTCAGTTTCTGATATGGAAACTTGGTGCCCTGGGGACTCACAGCCTCTTACTTGGAAGCTCGCATCCAGCTGACATTCCTGGAGCTGACTGGCTTGCCATCCCTCTGCACTTTCATCTTTTACAGAGAGCGCCGTGCAGGAGACTGTCAGACTGGCCTTAAAGATTACATACCAGTCCGTCAGCTGGCCTCATGTGCATCATTTGAGCCAACCTAGAGAGAAGGAAGCACCACAGCCAGCTCTGTAGTGGATGTAAGATTTAACTGTCGATGTCCGCTCCCGGCCGGCAGGAAGGACACACGACACAGTCTGGTAGTGGACAACCTTTTCTTTTTATTCTTCTTCTCCGTACAGCCTGCCCTGGGTTCTCCCAGCTGAAGCCTCCTTTGGTCCGCTCTCCGCGGCTCCTCTTGTGCTTCAGTCTGCCCCGAAGCCTCTATCGGTCCGCTCTCTGCGGCTCCTTCTGGGCTTCTACTTCCGGGCTTCTACCTGGCTTCTACTTCCTCCCAGGGGTGGCACCAGTATATATACGGGTACAGTGTCCAATCATGTTAAAGTAAGCAAGGCAAGCTGATTGGCTAACATCATCAGTTGCCAGGCAGACTATATTGTTGAGCGGGTTGTTTACGCGGTAAGCAGGAAACTAGCATATTCGATGGGAGGGGTAATCTACCTCAGGCCTCACTCTTTACTACAGGCCTCACGTCCGCCAAGTGAGGCGACCGGGCTCGGGGCTGCAGCTCCCAACATCTCCCCCTTTTTTATTTTTTATGAATGTGCGCATCGTAGCCCTTCCTGGACTGGGTGCAGAGGCTTATGCCCTATGCGTAGGCCCACCGTAGGTCCTTGGCTTAGACCCTGGTCGGCCGTCCCATGGTCTGCCAAGGCCCTGAGGCCCTCGTCCTTTTTCTAGGGCCAGGCACAAACTGGACGGAACCTGGATGCACACAAGCTTGCACTCATTTCCTCTCCGTAAAGAAATCCCCTTGGAGAGAAATTTAGACCTGGGCAGCATCTAACAGTCCAGCGGCTTACGTGCAGGATGGGGTAGGGCCTGGCTTAGGTCGAGTCGTGCTGGGGAGGCACGCTCTTACCCGTCATTGACTCATCTACCCTGCTGTGTATTGTCACCTTATGGAGGAGAATGAAGGATGCCCGCCATATCTAGACTCGGTCGTGGGCCAATCGAGCAAGCCATGCATATGCCTGAGGATCTTTTTGTCCATTTCGGGCTACCGCTATTTCTATTCATCTTGTTGGTTGGTCTGTGATGGATCTCCAGTAGGGCAGGTCTGATCTTCAGTCGAGGGCTTTGTTGCCCGTGTCAGTCTCTCCGGTATCCACAGTGGTTCTCGTCCCAGTTCCTGTGGGAAAACACAAACCGCGCCTCGGTTCCAGCTGACCACTGGATCCGGGCCCATCCATTGTCCTGTCAGGACATCTTTCCACTTCACCCACCCTTTATGGTTGGGGGAAGGGTTGCAGTGCTCCACAGCTGGGGAGCGATTATCATTATTTAAATTTAAAAAATTGTGTGTGAATAGTGCCATGGATAATCGTGCCTTTGGGGCCAGGCCTTGGCCTACTCCCCCTTTTTGTTTTTGTAAAATTTCTTTGAGGCTTCTATGAGCCCTCTCAATGATTCCTTGACCTTGGGGATTGTATGGGATACCATGTTTTAATTGAACCTCCATCATTTTGCAGAACTCATTGAAAGCTTTGCCTATATAGGCTGGTCCATTATCAGTTTTTAATATTTTTGGTTTGCCCCATGCGGCCCAAGCCGCCAGGCAATGATTGATCACATTAGACACTTTTTCACCTGTTTCTGCTGTTGCAAATATGACGCGAGAACAGGTGTCTGTGGAAACATGAACATATTTAAGAGTCCCAAACTCCTGTATATGTGTGATGTCCATCTGCCAAACATCACCAGGGATCAAACCTCGAGGGTTTACTCCCCCTTTTTGTTTTTTATTTTTTATTTTTTATTTTTATCTTTTTCGTTTTTTTTTTTTTTTTTTTTTTTTTTTTTTTTTTTTTATTGGTACCAGGGATCGAACTAACAACTGCACACTTGCAAGGCAGGCGCTTAAGCCGCTGAGCTAAATCCCCAGCCCCTTTTTCCTCGACCGGCGTTTTTCTCAGCCTGCTCGGCAGAGTAGCCGCCCATGAAAATACCGTCTGCCCAGCGGCGCGACGTCATAAGACTGCGGTCGCGACAGAGTGAAACGGGGCGTCACTTCCTGTGCCGGCTGAGGGAAGGGAGGGTTTCCTGTGGCGGCCTCTCGGCGGGGAGCCGCTTTTAGAAAAGAGCTCCAGGGCGGAGCGGATGGCTCTCTATCTCCTCCCCGCCAGAGAGCGCCGGGGAACCGAGTCTGACCATCAGCGCGCCGACCCTCTCCCACAAGCATTCTCTTGTTCCACCCCCGGTCTCCCCGATTGGCGTTTCTCTCAGCCTGCTCTGCAGAGGACTCTGCATACCAGGCTCGCCAATCCAGGTAACCACCCGAGGGCAGACACGCCCCCGCCAGCTGAATCCAGTCCGCGGGGGTGAGGGGCCCAGAAGACAGGTTCTCCAGCATGGCAATGGTGTAAGGCGCAGTCGGCCCAAAAGTTGTAACTGCATTTTTAAGTTCTCTAATCTGCTTTATCTCAAAAGGCTCCCGTACATTGCGTCCCTGGCCTATAGCCACTTGTACAGGAAATATCCCATAGGGGTCACTATCCATCCCAGGTGGTGGATGTACCTCATGAAACAAGCGTCTCCCCTGCCAAAGCCACCTGTGAAAATACCGATCCGCCGGCGGCGGAGCATAAAACAACGGCCGTGATTGGGCGGAAAATGGGGGCCCGTGCATCACTTCCTGTTCTGGCGAAGAGGAAGGGAGCTCCCGGGCGGCCGCCCCGCGGCGAGGGATCGCCTCCGGAAACGGCCCCCAAGGTGGGGCGGAAGGCTTCGCCTCCCTCTCGCGCCGGGGCGCACTCAGGAGCTCTCTACTCCTCCGCAGACCAGGTTGAGCAGAGCGCAATTCGCGGGGCAACGCTGGAAAAGAACCCTGCGACTCCTTATTGAGCGACTTAGGCTCCTGACAGCTGGTCTCTTTGGCCTCCTTGCCATTCAACTTTCCCTCGTCCTCGGAGTCAGACGACTCCGAGGCTAGAGCCCCGTCCTCCTCCTTAGCATCCTTGTTCCCCTTGACGGACCCCTCTCGGGAGCTCCCTGACTGGGCCTGCTCAGATACCCTGCATACTTTTGTAAGCTCTTGAGAGCTTTCTCCACAACCACCCTCGCTCTTAGTGCCGCTACCTAGCATGTTTCCCATTTTTTAATATGTTACTCACCGCGTGAGGCCCAAGGAATCCGCCACTTACGCGTGAGCCTGAGGGGAGTCTAAAAGCCCTGTAGGTGCGCGCCACCCAGAGCCCAGGCTTATCCCCAACTCACCTGTCTCGCAGCTCTGTACTGGAGCGTTGTCCACTGTCACGTCTCGGGGGTGATCAGTCCCCGGGCGGGCCTCCAAATGTCGATGTCCGCTCCCGGCCGGCAGGAAGGACACACGACACAGTCTGGTAGTGGACAACCTTTTCTTTTTATTCTTCTTCTCCGTACAGCCTGCCCTGGGTTCTCCCAGCTGAAGCCTCCTTTGGTCCGCTCTCCGCGGCTCCTCTTGTGCTTCAGTCTGCCCCGAAGCCTCTATCGGTCCGCTCTCTGCGGCTCCTTCTGGGCTTCTACTTCCGGGCTTCTACCTGGCTTCTACTTCCTCCCAGGGGTGGCACCAGTATATATACGGGTACAGTGTCCAATCATGTTAAAGTAAGCAAGGCAAGCTGATTGGCTAACATCATCAGTTGCCAGGCAGACTATATTGTTGAGCGGGTTGTTTACGCGGTAAGCAGGAAACTAGCATATTCGATGGGAGGGGTAATCTACCTCAGGCCTCACTCTTTACTACAGGCCTCACGTCCGCCAAGTGAGGCGACCGGGCTCGGGGCTGCGGCTCCCAACATTTAACCAAGGTTGTTTCGATTGTTCTGCACCCATGGAGGTGCCCGGGCAGCTGTCCACAGGCTCTGAAGGTCATTCTCTGCACATTTTCTGCTGGCTGTCCTGACGGCAGTTAAAGGTTGGAACCTTCCCCTGCCAGCACTGCGGGCTGAACACAGCCTGCCATCGAACCACACACTCAGCCCTTCTACATTCTGAGGCAGGGCTCACCAGGTTGCTCAAATGCCTAGAACTTTAATTGTCCTGCCTCAGCCTCCAGAGTGCCGATTACAGGCGAGCACCAGCAGGCTGAGCCAAGGTTGGGACTTTCAGAACTTGAAAGGCCAAGAGGCCTGGCTCTCAGATCAGGAGATGCCCTCACAAAGGGGCACCCTTGCCTTCTCCTTGCCCCATTGGTGACAAAACTTGAAGGCCAGGCAGGACGCCCATACTGTGGGTTCTAGGCCTGCAGAGCCAGCAGGACCCTGCTCACAGCGCTGTGTATGCAGGTGTCCACAGCAGCACAGAGCTTGAGTCCCTGAGAGCGCACAGTGAGTCCACACTGCCGGGCACATGCCTGTCACAGGTGGAGCAACTGAGGGGAGGCAAGGATGGATGCCGACAGCACCCCCCAACCTCATGCAGGACCAAAGTCAGGATCACAATCTGTCCCTCCTTGGTCCACCAGGACACCCTGCGCCTGCCCTTCCCTCCCCTCCAGCCCACGCTATTCTCCTTTCCATGCTACCCATGGGAACCTTGGAGACCTGGGTCACTTCTCACTGTCCCCACCTGAGCCAGGGCTGTGGTGCGCTTTTGCAGGAGCCACCATAGCTAGGGCTTCCCCGGCATCCTTAAAGCTGCTGCCTCTTGTGGCTCCAGGGGTCTCTCCTGCCCCTCTGCACCTTCCTGGCATGGGTGCTGCTGCCAAGCATGCCATCAGGTACCCACAGGGTACCCCTCTTCCTCATCTACCCACACCTCAGGGAGTCTCTCAGGCAGGATTCCAGCGCTGCCTTGGTCGGTGCACTTAATTTTGACTTGTGACTGTCAGGGCCATGTACCCACCCACACTGGAAGGCAGGCAGGCCAGGCCCTGGCTGGTGCTGGGTTCCTGCTGGTTGGCAGGAGCTGCCACCAGCCCCAGGACCAAACAAGAAGCTGTAAAGCAGGCACACTGAGCAGTCAGGGAATCTGCTCAAGGGTGGTCTAGGCTGCGAGGAGATTAAAAGACTGACAACCTGGGGAGGGGATGTGGTTCTCCTGTCCTCTTCTTGCTGCTCCCAGCTGTACCCATGTGGCTCACGCCAGGGCACCGTGGACAGCAGCTTGCTTGGGCTGAAGGCAGTCCACAGTGAAAAATGCCACCAGCAGCCAGCCTATCCTGTGACATCGGCCATGCTCCTGCAGGAGAGAGGCAGGAAAAGGGTCCACCCTAGAGAGGGATCTGGTGAGGCTGTGACAATGCCTGGACATCCGCTGTGGCCTGTCCAGCTGTGCTCCTGTCTATAAGCCTGGGCCCTCAGCCTCCTCCACATATGCCTGGGACTTGCAGAGGGGCAGGCTGTGGGCCTGGCCCAGGCCTCACTGACTACCCTTAGGGTACTACAAGCAGAGTAGAGCCCAAGCATTTTCTGCAGAATCTCCTTGAGGCTGGCAGGCAGAGACATGAGTGCCCTCCTGGCAGACGCAGACATGAGTGACCATAGGGCGGCGCCTAGTTCCCTCTGGGTCCCCAGCAGGTGTCCCTCCCCTGGACACCTAGGTCTCAGCTTCTGAGAAACCAGGAGCCCTGGGAATATGGCCAGCACCCCATGGTGCTGCAGTATGGGAGTGGGGTTGCTTCCCGGGCTCCTGGGTCCCACCAGGCATCAGGACTCTGAACCAGTTGCCCACCCTCATGGCAAAAAATCTCAGACCACACCTTCAGCCACGGGGACCACTGGAAACCACTGACCCCTGAAAGGCAGCCAGGTATCTTCTCAGAGTGGCCAGAGCACCACCCTGCCTGCAAGGAGGCACCGTTCAGAGTGACTGTCAGGCTCAGCTGCCAAGAACTGGCCTGCCTTCTGTCCACCAGCAGAAGAGCCCAGAAGCTGTACCTCCGCTGGACATGTGGTCCTTGCCTATGTCCCCACCTGTGCCCAGTCAGGGCTTCATCCCAAGCTGCCTGTGTAGCCGGAGCCACCTCGGGACATAGAAACGCCCAGTCCAGGAGGCACAGGCCACACAGGGGTCAACTTTAATATACAGGCTGACCTGTCTGGGAGAGCAAGAGTTTCCCCTCTGCTCCTGGTTGCCCGGGAGGTGCTGAGAGCTCTCTTTGGCCACTGCCCTCATGCTGCTCACAGGTCAGCAAGACACCAGTGAGATTGTCCAGCGAGCAAACAAGGGTCACACATGAGGCATTGCTTCCAGGCTCTGTGCCTCCTGCCCTGGCTGTTGTTGGCTCAGGAGCTGGTGACAAGGGTGTGGCATTCCCAAGGTACACGGCGGGGCCACACCTGATGGAGCTGGATCTCACCACCACCTTCAGGTGTCCTTCCTCAGCAGGGCCGGGCCAGGGTGCACAGGCCTGCAGACACAGGGTGAAGTTGGGACTCCTGTGGTCCTCCATCCAGCAGTGCCGGACCACGGCCCGCCTCCACTGAGCGACAGAGGCTTGAGTCTGGGTGCTGGGACGGTCGGCAGTGCTGGTTCCCAGGCATTCTGGTCCTGACACACAGGGAAACTAATGCCAGGTGAGACAGGGCCCTTTCAGTGAAGCCCTTCACCAGCTAAAGGGAGCAACAAAGAAGTGAAAAAGAAGCACAGGGACCCCAAGGCCAGCTGGCAGCTTCCCCCGGGGAGAGCACAGGCCACTGGAGCCGGGCAGCAGTGAACAGCACCAGGACACAGGGCCAGGCCACGGCCACTGCGGAACCATGGCCTCTCCGAGCCGGGCCGGGCTGAGGATTGCACGTTGTCCTTTAATCCAGAAGCAGGAGCAAGACGGCGAGGCCAGCAGTTCAGACCGAACAGCGAGGGGACCGTCTGGAGCCGCCCAAGCCTCGTGGAGCCATGGCCCCACCCAGCTGCATGCTCCATGCTGGCCGCCACACCCAGACTCTGTAGGCCAATCTCGGGGTGTCCTTCAAGTCCTGCCAGGGCCACGTTAGGAGGCTGCCACCAGGTCTGCCTGTCTGGGCCTGACCTTGACAGGAGCTTTTTCTGTGGAGGAAAAAAGACAGGTTCATGACATCCAGAGACCAGAGCAGACCTTTCCAGAGGGTGAGGCCGCAGAGGACATCGGGTGCAGGCCACTCTGGGAAGGGTGCAGTCAGCTGGGCTCGTGAAGGCCGACCAGCAGCCCCTGCAGGCCACAGGGGACTGGAAGGCAACTTGCATGGGCTGCTGAGAAGGCCAGGTCCTGGGGACCTTTCCTGAGAACCAGAAGTGAGCACTGCACAGCCAGGCAGCAGATGCAGGCTGACCCTGAAAAAGCCTCTGGCCAATTCTAACATCCGGATGTGCCTTTGCCAGTGGGAATGAGGTTGCCCCACTCCTGGGAAACCAGGCTCCAAGGAAGGCCACGTGGCCACACTCTCTGGGGAAGGTGTTTGGTCTCGCAGTGCTCCCCCTGGGACTCACCACTCTGAGGACCCCAATTAGGGTGAAAGGAGAAAGCGGGGTACCTGGATGTGTCTCAGGAAGGGGCTCCGAAGGGACCTCTGGGAGCTCTAACTGTTCCTGTGAGAAGCAAAGGCGAGGCCATGAGACGGCCGGTCGGCAGGTCAGCCCCAGCCTGGCTATGCCCTGCTCTTAGAGGGCCACGAGGCACCGGCCCTGCACACCTAGCTCTTGGGGGACCAACTGGGAAACAGAAAGAGAACCCCTCCCATTCAGAAGACCTCTACCAGCCGTCTTCAGACACTCAGATCACCCTGGGTTTCCAGTGGGATCCTGAGGGGGTCATGATGGCCCACTCTCAGGGTATCCCGAGACCCTGTTTCAGAAGGTTGGGGCCACGCCAAGATCACAGGTTTTAAACAGAGACCCTGGTGCCCACAGGTCAAGGAAGTCACTGCAGCCATTGGGAGTCTGTGCAGTGCTGTCCCAGTGAGCAGCAGGGAGCCTGCCAGGGCACCAGGCTCTCAAGCTCCAGCAGCAGGAAGTCATGGCAACCTCCCACTTAGGTTTCCCACTGGGCTGAGGACAGTGGGAGGCTCAAAGGGCACAGGGTGGCCTTGGCAAACTGGCAGGGCCCACAGGTCGAGAAGCCCTGTGCTGGGGCCATCACAGAGCTCGGGGCCTGGGTGTGGAGGCGGGGCAGGATACATTAGAAACCTCAACGTGCACAGAAGAATCAGGGACACCAAAAGGAAACAAAACCTAAAAGTCCCACATGGGAAGGAAAGGGGCTGAGCAGGCCAGGAAGGCTCAGTGCCTCCGCTCCATGCAGGTACAGGGTCACAACTGCCGAGACAGGCCCTGATGTCAACCCCCTAAACCCACATCAGCCCAAAAGGCACTAGCTTAGTACAAACGCAAGCTATTTTAGGAAGGAGAGCAGGGGGGCCGAACAAGCACCCTGAGTGCTCAAACAGATCAGTGGCGCTCGTCACAGAGAGGCCTGCCTGGGGAGCTCGGGGTCCCGCTACCTGAGTAATGGCATTCAGCTCCTCCAAGATGGCATCTTCATCCTCCTGCGTGAAGCTTCCAGCCAGCAGCTCGTCGATTTGCTGTAGGGAGAGTGGCAGTGAACATGTGCCAGGCAGGGCCCGGGAAAGGCAGCGCCTCATGAAGGATACAGCGCAGGGCACTGAGGAGCGGAATGGTCTGGCCCTCAAGGGCAGCTGGTCACAGGGTCACCAAGCTGGTGATGGCACTAGCCAGCTGGTGAGGGGCAGGCCTGGAAGCACCTACCCTCTGGTATTCCACAGCCTCCTGTGTCTCGTCCAGGATCCTCTCCACTTCCTCGATGGACATCACCTGGAGAGGGTGAGGTTTGAAGCTCTCTTTGAGTGACGGCCCTGCCATTCTGGCACTATGTCATGGGGCTCTCAGACCTGGCTTCAGAGGGCTGGATGGCACTACCAGGCCGTTCCCCAGCCTGTGCCAACTTCGACAGTCATGGGTAAAGTAAGTCAAAAGTGGATACTGTTCTCTGGGTTAGGGACTTGATTTCCTTTGAGTGGCAAGTTCAAAGCAGCGCCCTTGCTAGGCTGGTGCCCAAGCCATCTAGCGCCAATGAGAGTTCAAGAGGAACATGATCTCTGGCCGAGCCCCAGCTCTCTGACCCGCCTGCTGGCTGACCATGTTTCTGAGCATGACCTGTGCTGACCCTCAGCTCCTCTCAGGACCATTCTACCCTGCTTCCCAACACCATCTCCAGGGAGCCTTGGGGGTTAGCTCTTCTCGATGCTCCCCAGCCTACTGCCTTCTGGACCCAGCACGCCACTGTGTGGTGCTGTTCTCAGGTCCCCATGGCCTTGAACCACCTGCCAGTCACTGTGAATATCCCAGCCCAGCTGGACCTGCCACAGCCTCTTCTGGGTCAAGCGCTTAGCACAGAAGTGGCCCCAGACACTGAACAGAAAGCCCAAGCTCACCCACCTGCCCGACAAGGACCCACCTGATGCATCTTGTTCAGACACTCGTTCCCCACCTGAAGCCCCTCCATCACCTTCATCTCAATCTGGGTGAACTCAATGCTCTGAACCTGCAAAAGACCAGGCCGGTGCTCAGGGGACAGTGCTGTGGGCCAGCGTCTGCTAGGGGTTAGGATGGCTTCTGTGCCCACTCCCTGCCTTCTCCCATTACTCCGCATTTCAGAAGACAGAGAAGGCATCGAGATTGTCACCGGGGATGTCTGTATCGACTCCTCTACCACCTAGGAGTGATCCAGCTTTACCCTGGGGGGGCCAGCCTGTCCCACCCCCTAGGCCTCAGGGCCACTCCCTCACTCACCATGGCCTCCAGGCTGCTGATCTGGTTCTCTGTCCGGTCCAGGAGCTGCTCCCGGTACCGCTTCTTCTTGAGCAGCAGCTTGGCCCGTCTGCAAAGGAAGCCACAATTAGCGCGGTGGCCCCTGCTGGACCTGCCCACCCACTCCAGCCCACAGGCCCACCTCATGGGCCCCACTCACTCCTTCCTGCCGTCCCGCAGCAACTGCCTGGCCAGTGCCCGCTCACGCTCCAGCTGCTGTGTGACCCTCTTCTGGTACTGCCTCAGCTTGTCCCGCTGCTGTTTCAGTTGCTGCCAAGAGAGTGACTTGGCATCAGTGCCCACTTGGCTGAGTCCTTGCAGGCTGTCCTGCAGCAGTCTGTGGGGCTGAGAGCTCACGAAGGAGGCCAGGCAACCTCTGATGCAATGTCCTCCAGTTAGGAGGAATATCTGCCCTCCAGAGCATGTGCAGCAGGACTGGGAAATACTTCTACCAGGTAACTGGGGTGCTCCCGGCATCCATCCCCCTATAACTTCAGGGAGCAGCAGGAGTACTCTGAGGTTGGGTGGGGAAGCAGCCACCAGCTTCTGGTAGATTCATGCACATCAGAGCATAGGCAAGCAGGTGACTAGCACCTGTGCCTGTGCCTATCTGGGATGTCCTGCACATTTTGAATTCTTGCTTAGTTTCCTCTTACATTAATATCCACCAAGAAACGTGCTGGATGGTCTGTGTGCGTCACTACCCACCTTTCTACACCCCTCAAAACTATACACCAGCTGGGCACAATAGCATACACCTGTAATCTCAGCACTCTTTGGGAAGCTGAGGCAGGAGACTCCTGTGAGTTTGAGGCCAGCGTGGACTACCCAGTGAGTTTAAGACCAGTCTGAATTTTTAAATTTTTTTGGAATTTTAAAATTTAATTTAATTTTATTTTGCTTTTTTGTAGCCAGGCTTCCCTCAATCTCACAGCAATTATCCTGCCTCAGTGCTGGGATTACAGGCTTGTGCCACCATGCCTGGCCTAAAACCAGCCTGAATTATAAAATAAGACTTTGTCTCAAAACACAAAAACAAAAACAAAAAACAAAATTAGCCAAACAAAAACCATAAACAACAACAACAACAAAAAAGGATGCATCAGTGTTTACCAGCTTTGCCAATCCTTCCTAATTTAGGTCATTTCTAATTTTTCCCAATGCTATAATTTCAGATGATTTTTGGATGCTGGGTTTAGACCCAGGGTACTTCTCACACCCAGGATGATCTCTTTGGGGTAGATCACTGTAAGTGAATTAAATCAAGGTAGAGGCACACCTTTTAAAACTCAGCTAGTGAGAAACCACTCCCCCTGACACATACACACAGAATCTCTAAGGCTGTCTCTAGTCCTCTTTCTCCACTGAATGCCCTTTACAGAGTGGCAGTGCCAGAGGCCAGTCCTCCCTTGGTTACGAGGTGACCACTATACACTATACAGTCTATGCACTTCCTCCCCAGATGCAGCAACAAAGCATTCTACGTTATTACCCATACAACTGAATAAAAAACTACAAGTCCGGGCATGGGAAGAGATTAGAAAGGAACCCAAGAGGATTGGGTGCCTCTTTGTAGAGCAACAGGTCTGAGCAGAGGATCACAGACAGCAGGCAGGGCTGGACTTCCTTACTCCAGTGATCCCAAGAACATATAAAGCAGTTCTGAGCATTTGAAACTCTGTGGAGGAATAGATGGAAGGCTGCCTTGCCTGTAGAATCCACCAAGGTGAACCCCTGACAGACAGAAAACTATTTGGAGAAAAAACGGAGGATGAATCCTTAAAGAGAGGCCTCAGGTGTCCTGCTTTAGCCAGGAGCAGCAGACAGTGGAGGCTGGAAACCTAGGCAAGCCCTAAACCACAATGTTTTTGCGCCAACTTCCACGTAAGTACCCAATGTTGTGGCCGTTTTAATGACAGCCATGTCCATCATTTCTTCTTCATCCAGGGGAATTTGGCAATAACTTTATAACATGAGCTGGGAAGCCAAGAAAAATCATTTTCCATTTTATTCCTTTCTCTGTTAATACAAGAGTAATCTTTGTTGTTGTTGTCGTTCTTGGGAAAAACTAAGGGAAACATCAGAAAAGGCCAACTCTGCTCAAGTCCGGGAGACCTTCCTGACACATTTTCCTATTCCGAAAAAGGAGCATTCTGCACATTTCCCTGTTACAACATTTGGTTCTTTTCCTGGACTTTTAACTGCCCCGAACACCAGGAAGAGCCTGAGGCTGCAGTTAGGAACACGGTCCTGCCCACCGGGGCGGGGACACCAGTCCCACGGGCGCAGGCAAGCTTGGCAAAGCCCAGGTCACGGTCCGCGGGTAAAGCGAGGGCACCGGGGGCGCCGAGGGGCCAGACTAGCCCTGCACACGGGTGTGCGGCCAGAGGGTGAGAAACGCCCGAGGCAGGATGGCCTGGCCCGACTAGCGCCACCGACTTGCCAGCCTGCTGCGGACTCCAGAGACCCGGCCCAGGCGTTCTGGGCAGCCCCCAGCAGACGCCCACCGCAGGATGCCGGCGCGCTGCCCTTGCCCGTACCCCGCCTCCCCGGAGCATGCGACCGAGGCTCTGGGCCCTGCCACCCCGAAACTCCGGACCCTCCCAGCTCATTGCTAGCTCCTCACCAGGATGGCCTTGTCTTGCTCGGTGACCCGGCTCTGCTTCTTGCGGCCGAACAGGTTGCCCATGGCGGACCCGCAGCCGGCCGCCCCACAGTCACTAACTCTGCGGCCACCGTACTCGCCCCCCCACCCTACGGCGGCCGCGAAGGGCCGAGCGCCGCAGAACGCGAACTGCCCACACGCCCTAACTTCTCTTCCGGCTTCGCTTCCCTCAGAGCCTCCTTTTACCCCTGGGAAAGCAGCTGGGTGGTGTCACAAAGATACTTCGTGTGCGCACCCTGCCGGTATGGGTGAAGAGCAAAACTCTGTTCCCCTAAATGGATGCACTCTGCAGGCTTCGATTCAGGCTCTCGGCGGGCTCTGCGCACTGGTGGGATGTCTAGACGCATCTATACGTGATGTCAAGTTCACCACTGTCCCTTCTTTGTTCTCCGGTTCTCCTGGTTTTGGTTACGCCTGGAGCAGGGGGACAGTCAGCTGTTGGCAGAATCGTGGCTGCTCCCTGGCACAAGCCTTGCTTCTCCTTCGGAGGATCAGAAACTTTTCTGGGGCATCAGGGGTCACAAAGGAGGAATCACCCCACTACCTTGTGGGACATCAGCCGCTGGGATTGTCTTAGCTGATTAAATTTGCAGTCATACCCAGGGGTTGTTGGAGGTCACTAGGCTTCTAGACCCCGGGGTGAATTAGAGGGGAATGTGATAGACACCCCACACCGTGGCTTTCCAGTGTGTGCTGGTGACATTAATCTGAGCAGATGCAGGGGGATGCTGTGTGGCCCTGAGTTTACTGTCTCCACAGAGAGGGGAATCCTTGGGCTTCTCCCAGCCCACTTCCCCTGTGAGAGGCAATACAGCAATTATGCTGATTGCTGTATCTTCTAGTTCAGTTATTCATTCCAAAACTGAAGCATGAGCCATAAGAAGGGTCTATGGGCTATTGGCCCCACTGAGTCAAACTTGAGCCAAAACTGAAATGTCATCTTGCCCTTGTAAATCCTCCACTGACTATGCTGTCTTTGTCCCCAGGAATAAGCATCCATTAAAAGCCAGTGCCTGTGATTCCTAAGCTGTTCGTTGTTTCCTTCCCTTCTGTCACAGTTACTGTAAGCAGGTGCAACACTCCAGGTCTGTGACTTGACTCCACTTGGAATGGGATGAGAGGCCATGAGTCAAGTCCATTGTGGTGAGGTTTTGATCAATGGACCTGGAATTCTGTTTCATGACAAGCAGTGTTCTAATGGGCTGCTTACTTAGTTAATCCCACAGATGATCCAATTAGCAGGACTCCCAAAGGCCAGGGCACGGTGAGCTCTAGCATGTCCAGTTACCTGCTTCAGGGCTCAGCTCACCTTGGCATCAGTATTAGCTATTACCTCTTGGCTTCTGCTGCTCTGGGCTCCCACTGCCCCAGGCAATCAGGAAGCCCCATCCCCCACTGTCAGTCCCACTTACCAAGAACGGCAGCCACAAAACCTTCCAGGACATGTGGTCCCCACACTTGTCTGATTCCTGTGCCCTAGTGAAAGTCATGTGTTCAGGGTGCATGGTTGGGTTGTGGCCTTGCAGACCGTCCCGCAGACCGTTACTTCTGAGATTCAGCCCATCAAGGAAAGCGTGGGCTGTGGCTCCAGCTGCATGAGGGAGCCTGGGAAGGGTTGGAGCAGTATATTGCATCCCATCTAGGTTCTATTTCAGCCTCCTCGTCTAACACCCTAGAATCCACTTCCACACATATTCCCAGGCTCTGCCAACATATAGTTAAAAAATCTCAGTTCTTGTAGTCTATAATCCATGATTTGGCAAGCTACAACCTGTGAGCCAGATTCGGCCCACAGCCTATTTTTTGTACAGCCCATGAGCTAAGAATGATCTTTATACTTCTTGAGTTGTGAAACACGCACACAGACACACAAGCACATACATGCAATGAAAATACTGAAAAAGAATAGGAAAAAGTTGGAGGAGGCCTTTGGTGTCTTACAGTCTAAAATGTATCTTCTTTGGTCTTTTACAAAAAAAAACTCCCCAGTCTCTGCTATGAGCTGTTTCCTGCTGTGTCACACTCTTTATCCAGCCCCCAGATTGACACCTACCACTGATCTCACAGCAGAGGAGGTGGCTGTGGAGGCATCCAAGGAGGGAACCCTGGGGGATCTGCTGCAGGTGGCTCAGGAGAGAGGCCCTAAATGTAGGGTGCTGTCTGTTTGGCCACAGCCATTCTTGCCAGTGGGAAAGGCTCTGAGTGACCTGGGGTTTCAAGGTCTTAAGTCTCCTGAGTTCATGGTTGTGGTCTTCCTTCCAAGGCCCTAACTTTCAAGTGAGGAGGCTGGCAAGGGTTGGCGTTCATCTGATGTTGTGATCCCATGTGTGCACTTGGCTTTGGTGTTTGAGCTTCAGCAGTATGGGCCATATGGTTATAAGAAATGAGATCCTTGCTGGGCATGGTGGCAGATGCCTGTAATTCTAATGCTCTGAGAGGCTGAAGCAGGAAGATCACAAACTCAAGGCCAGTCTGGGCAATTCAAGGGGCCCCAAGCTAGTATGGATATTCTCTGCTCCTCCAAGGTGAAGGCTGAGGAGCCCATCTGGCTTTTTGACCTCTGTGAAGGCCCTAGCGTGTTTAGGGGGCCTCACCTCACAGACTTGTTATCCCTGTTGTGATTCAAGCTCTGGGGCAAAAGCGTCAGGATGCATTTTATCATGACTGGCTCCCCATGATGATGCCAACACGCCCTGCAGCCCAGGAGCATCCATTTTCTGTGGGCAAGAAGCTCAGCAATGTGTTCAAGCCCAGCATCATGCCCAGAACAACCTCCAAATCCTGTCCTGGAGGATCTGTCTTGGGGACCACTCCAGGGATGATGTTTCAGTCATCTGATTCTAGTCGGGAGACAGAAATGGTGCTGGTCATCTGAACAGGAAAATATGGTTTGAAGAGTTGTTAACTAGCAAAAGTCGTTTAACTATTAAAAGGGTACAGAACTCTGAGGAATCCAAGAATAGCAGCTACAATTTCTAGGGCAGAGTGCACACCGGGAAAAGGCTGCAAGCTTGGTGGAAGCTTGCTGGCGCAGGCTGGACTTTGTGGGAGATTGTGGCTGTGGCAGGTGACTCCAGCTGCCAACAGGGGCCATCCAGGGCCATGTGGGAGAGGCAGCCAGCTGGACCTGTGTGTCACAAAGGGGTGTGCATGGCTAGGAGCTCCCACACAGTGGAGAAGGCTGTAGAAGTATCCTGCGGATGGCTGAGGGGGGTCACCACAGAGTGTTGGGTGCAACAGTTGCACTATGGGGAGAAAGCAGAGGGCAGTGAACCCAGAAAGGGAAGCCCCTGGGACCAGGGTGTGGCTCAGTGGTTGTACTCTAGCACAGAACACAGAGGACCCTGAATTTCCTGCCCAGCTCCACAGACAAACTGAACAGGAAGGGCAGCCCCTTTCTCTCGAGGCCTCCCTGCAGCTCTGACACCCTCTGTGGCACCGACTCACTCTGGGTGAACGGCGAAGCCCCACAGGTCCGACCCGTGTCCACACAGAGTGGACGATGAGCTGAGCTGAGCTGAGGCCGGAGAGCCCTGTCACAATAGGCCCTCATCTGTGGCCGTGGTGGAGCCACGAAGCTTCCCAGCTTGGGTCACAAGGGTGAGATGGTTCCTTCCAGCACCTCAGGCTGCTCATCCTTGGAACGCAGCCACCAAGTCAGGAGGAGCCAAGCAGCTGGAGGGAGGTCTGCAGGGAAGGAGCCTATTGGACACCATGGTTGAGAGCTACACTGGAAGGAGTGTTCCTGTCCCCATCTGCCAAGCTGCCCTGGCTGCCATCCCTGGGGCAGACGTGAGCCTTCCCCAATGAGCACTGCCAACGCTGGAGAGCTGTGAGCTAAGTGAGCTGCTGGGAGGGGCTCTTTGGGGGTGATGTGTCACAAAGCGTTGATAGCTAGAATGGTGGTGCAGGTGGCTTGGTGTCTCACAGTGAAATGTGTGGGTACATGCGGCCTGGGCTTTCTGCAGAGGATCCCCAAACCCTGACCGTCAGGAGCCACTCCTATCCTGGTGCCTTCCTGGGGATGAGGTAAGAACTCGTGACTCTCTGGTAAGGTATTTTGTGTCCACTCTCAAGTGCACCAAGCAAAGATGACCACTGAGTTGCATCCCAGCCCTTTTTGAGATACGGTCTTGCTGAATTGCCCATGCTGGCCTCAAACTGTGATCCTCCAGCTTCGGCCTCCCGAGGAGTTGGGATTATAGGTGTGCACCACCATGGCTGCCTCAGATTTTGCTTTTTAATGATTAATTTAGGCTTTTCTAGACAATCCATCCTTTTTAGTCCTACGCACACTTACCTAACCAGCCAAGACCAAAGCCCCTGGCAGCATCATCCACTCTGCCTGCTGCTTGGCGACCATGCCTAGCCCGCCTCCGCCTCTCAGCCTGTGGCACTCTGTGCCTCTGAGACCTCAGGCGACCTGTTTTTGGCAGCAGCATCTCCTACCTTTATCCTTAGCCTGCTGGCGCCTCACCGACAAGCTCCCAGGGGATTTTGTGGAGGACTTGTGGTTTGAGGACAGTGGGAGAGACCGTGGAAAGTGCGCTGCTACTGGCCACTTGGTGTCAGCATTCCTCCCTCCCTGAGTGAAGGAAGAGAAGCCAAGTCTCTTTGCTGGGCCAGGTCCAGCAGTGTCTCAGCTGAGCCCCTGTGAGCCTGGGTTTCCTTACTGGATGTGGTAAGCTGTGGGCTTCTCACGAGGGCAAACTCTGGAATCCAGGCCTCCAGGGCTCAAGCCAGATCCATAAATCCATAAACTCAGCTCAGCCCGTGTTTCATTGCTCCATTCCATCCCGTGGCTCTGCGCCTGTTTCCCCTCCGTGCTCCTGCTGGAATTAGCAAAAACTCAGCATGCTGAGGGGGTGGGTCGTGTGTCAGATGTTTACTGATTTCCCTGGACTCGGCTCAGCTGTTTGGAGTCCCTGTCACACCTGTGGTCTGCAGGCCAGGGGAACTACCAGGTGGGGCAGTTTGGGGAGGGGACAAGGTTGGTCCCCTCTACTCTCTCCATCCCAGCTCTTTCCCATTCTGTGTTCTTCACATCAGTGACCTGGGGAGGCTGAGAATTCAATTTACCTTGTAATTCTACAACCAGCAGGGTAAAGCCTGGGGAATG